GTATCACCCAGTGCACCCTGGCAGTCTGAGCGTGGGGAGGCATTGGGGCGGATTCTGGACAGCTTCAATGTCTGGTGTGAAAAGAGGATGAGGCCCTTTGGCTGAGTCTACATACGCAGCCTGACAAGTCTAATCTTAGACAACTTATTCATCTTACCCGGCCCATTTAAGGTCGAAGAGAACATTAAGGTCTCTGAACATCTGTTTTAATCAGAACAGCAGTTCTCGTTGTACCTGCTGAAGGAACCATTCCCTCATCCTTCAAAAAAACAGGCAAAAACTGCAGGTATGACTCCCCCTGTTTCCTTGACATGATTCCCATTGGCAGTGCCTTACACTCACATCAAGCTGAGTGGCCATTTGTACATGTCTGGCCATCTCATCCCTAGCCCCATACTCACGTGTAGTCGGAGCCAGGCTAGCTGTTCCTCCATATGTTCTTTTGTGCTAAGCTAAGTTCATATTTACCAGACACACATAATCTCATCTAATTCTCAGCTGTGTTTCCAAAAATGTCGAACTTTTCCTTTTCGCAGAATAATGTGTGTGTGTGTGTGTGTGTGTGTGTGTGTGTGTGTGTGTGTGTGTGTGTGTGTGTGTGTGTGTGTCATCTACTACCAAAGAACGGACGCATGACCTGAGAAAGTGGCCTTGGATAGCAGTAACAAACTAAGTTAGCTTAGCATCAGTAATGTGTTGATGTGGCACTTGGAAGCTCTGATAGCTCTAGAGACAAGGCTCTTTTCCATGTCCTTGAATAAAATTATTACTAAGGAAGCACTCAACATCTCAAAGCTTTTCAGATTGTTAATTGCTTCACCATTGGTAGCAACCGAATCAATAAAGTAGGCCACTTCATCAGGTTCTCCTCCAGACTCTGGTTGTAGAAGGCAGAGCTATGAATCAGATTATTCCAGTTAAGGTGCGACATGTGTTGCCATAATTTATTTCCCTCTAAGCAAAGAGAAGACACCTGTAGCACACGTCGACTCTCACAGACGCCGCTTCGGTGAGAAGAATGACCGGAAGCCGTGCCCATAATTCAGTCAAGACACAGGACTAAGATTAAGATGGATCTACTTTCAAAGTCTTTGCATACAAACCCTAAATACCATCCCTTCCCATCACTGTATCTCGACACTGTTGGTTGCAAGAGAGTACAACATAGAAGCACCAGAGCTTAGTTTTATTTTTGAATTGAAAGCTCCCTTTTTCTCAGCGTGGTGACAGTAGATAGCAGACAAGCAAGTTTAGACAGAAAAACTCAGCACTCTGTTTCTGGCTTGCTAAGCTGCTTGTCATCCACAGATGTTGACTAGTGGAGGAGAGCAGCTTGACAGCTGAAGTAGCGCATGTAGTTTTAACACTCAAAGTGGAAACAGAGCAATATAAAATCCCAAGACAAGCATTTTCTTCAAACCACTCTGACCATTCCATTTAACGTACTCATAAAAGTGTCCCAGTGGCAGAGAGGCATTACCTCCTCAAACAGCTCCAGCTGACAGGACTACCTATTATATAAAACAAAACAGAAAACAGCTGACGTTACACGGTGATTTGTGTGCCAATTCAAACCATTTGATGTGTGAAGATGTCACGCTCCGTGTCACCTCAGCTCACGGATGGTTAACGTGAACAGATGTGAGGGGTGGAGAACGGTCCAGTTTGTGTCCTACGCACATGCAGCATCTGATGCTTCGTTGGATTATACACGTGTGTTCATGCGTCTGATCGCTGCTCATACACATAGGGAGGCGAGCGGTGCTGAAGACACTTGCCCCTCACCAGAGCTATCCCACTCAGTAAGGACACACCGCCGCGTGCATCCCTGGAACTACTGTGCATAGCGAAGGCGCTCCGACCTTGTGCTTGTACTGTATGTTCGCTCACATTGACCAGTTACAACACAAGCACAGAAAGCTGCTTTAAAAATCACAATGTGTAGTAAATATGACAAATGTAAAGTAATGAGCAGTGGCAGCAGCTGATGTGCAATCCAATGCTAATCAACAGCTTTACACGGTTTCCTGTACGGAGCGTATTGTATAGTTATTGATGGGTGTGTGTCGGTTGCTCTTGCAGTATTTCTGTCTCCCTTTTGATCTCACCAGCTTCCAATACTGGATGTGTGTAGTTTGTGGGTGGATTGGCAGATTTGAGATGATACCGTTCACATCACATGCTTAACCACTTCCACGCCTGGTTTTCAAGATGGATGTCTTTCTTCGACATTCCCCTTTAAGAAGCATTTTGTGATTCTGTGAAGCACTTGTTTGACTTCCTGGCTCTCTAGGCAAGAGTTAGAGGAGAAGATCGACACAGTTAAATGTCAGGCTACAGCCGGCTCACTTAGCTTAGCATAAAGACTGGGAACAGCTAGCCTGGCTCTGTCGTACCAGCAGCGACTTGAATCTGTTTTGGTACCAGGTGCTTCTTATTTTCCCACTGCAGACAGTATCCCCTCAATGCAGCATCATTACTATAGCAACAACACAAAAAAGCTATCATGATGTCATCTTCAATGAGGCACACACATGAACAATGGAGGAAATCAAAGGACAAAGACAGCAGCAGTGGAACAGAGCTAGAGGTCTCTGTAGAGGTCTTGGGGAGTAGTACTGCTACATATGTGAGAAAATGTGTACAAAGCCTAACTATCAAAATGAAGTGAGGACAGGTGAGTTGCACTGTGGGTAATGTAGGCGCCTGGATTTGACAAAGAAGAACGTGTGGAATAAAAAAAGACAGTGTGTGTGGTTCTGCTGCATCAGTTTTAAACTGCCCATTACAAGTTCAGCAGAGTTACAAGAGTCCACTGCTAAATCTGAGTGGTAACAAGTGCTCTGTTAACAAGTCATACCTCAAACCAAAGTGAAAAAATGACAAGCTGTGGTGTCATGAGGGATATATGCTATTTCATGGTCTATTTCTTGAGCTTCAGAGGAGCTGGACAGAGACATACTAGCTGTTTCCCCTGTTTCCAGTCTTTATGAGGCAAAGCTAACCGTCTCCTAAATGTAGCTTAAGAGACAAATGTGAGAGAGGCATCGATCCTCTGCGTCTGACTCTGGGCATGACAGCGAATAAACGAATTTCCCAAAAGGACAAACTATTCCTTTAAATGTACTTGGCTGGGTAAATAACAGTAATGCAACGATGAGATGAACAATTTGGGTAAATGAACACGTCTCCCTCATTTCTTTGCCTCTTATTCCAAATAAGTCAAGTGGCTTCTCTAAATCACGCAACCCCCCACCCCCCCACCACCACCACACTGAGTCTTTACAACACAGTGGAGAAAGTCATGTACTGTGTATAATTCACATTAATCTTTTTCTAAGTTGGATTTTCAGCTTGACTTTCTATGCACACTAACTTTCTGTGATGAGGACTCAGGGTGTCCTGACACATCTCACCTCCTCCTCGGGATGTGTGGAGTTGTCACATGATGCAGGGCTTTAATGAGCTGAATATTTTTACAGTCAGCTTGTTCCTGTTTTGTCCTATAATGAAACAGAGTGCCGCTCACATCACTAGCTTTGAACATCCTGCAATGTTGCACACCATCTTCGCGCTCTATTTTACTGTCATCCCTTGTGTCTGCTGGCTGCCAGCGGAGTGTGGATATTGCAGGGTTGAGGGTGGAGGAATGAGGTGGCATTCAACCAACTGTTAGCGCCACATAAAGCCTTTATCACACCTAAACGGCTCTGTCTCCCAAAGCCAGAGTGCGATAAGCACTGCCCATTCATCTGTAATGATGTGGAAGCAAGAACCAACTGAACTGAGTTGAGAAGGAAAGGCTAACTCCGACACAGTGTGGATGGCTGGAAAGGGTGCGGGGGCCAGTGGGGTTTGGCTTGTTCACTCCTCAGAATGATGCTTTTATTTATTTTGTGTTCTCTGTGGGTTGAAGTTAATTACACGACAAGTGTTGTTTTACACTTCAAAGTACTGTAATTATCTGGAAGATGAAAATATGAAGCAGGGGCCACATTACACCATGGTAATTGAAAAAGTTTCCCTTTGGACTGCAAATTAAGTTTTTGCAACCAGACCAAATATTCTTAGACACTTCACCCTGCCTTCACACGCTCATTGTGAGCTTCTCTTCTGAAGTAATAATCGCAAAGCCCATGAGCTCCCAAGTTCAACTCCTAAATTCGAAACCAGTGTTTCCAATATTTCTGATAGCAGGCAGAATAAGATTTCACCAGAGTATTAATCATAGTAATGGACCATAACTTTGTTAAATTTACTGGCCTGATAGTCTGTGTTTGGCTCTCTCCACTGTTGCGCCCCTGTTGTGCCGGGGGTGATGCGATCACTACTTTGCAGCTCTGAATGCAGCTGTGTGTTTGGGAAACATGACACGAGCTGCTCCTGCAGATGTACTGTACATGGTTAAACTCATATTCAGCAAAGGTTGAATAGAAATGAGACACATTTGGATTCAACTGTGAAATGAACTTTATACACAATCTGGATACAAGACACTGATTCAGGACTCCACAGCTACTTATCATGAAGAGCAATTGTAAACGCAGCCCACAGAGTGTAAGTCAGGATTGATGTTGAGGTCAGATGAAACTGCAGTGACAAAAAAGAAAATATAAGCACACAGGAAACACAAAAACCACATACACTCGAGTCTCTATGGCAGCAGCAGTAAAGTAGCTGGCTAACGTGACAGCTGTAAAGTGGATACACTAAATGCCCCTGTGTTTTATTATTCAATGAAAATTTATGCCATTAATCCATAAACACAACGCTTTCAATCAATCATCTTCAAGACGTGACCCTTGTTGTCTGTTGTGATAGACAGGCGTTGTGTCATAAATGCACTGTAAAGGAGTCACCCACAGTATCAGGTGTCATTACTGACAGTAACTTCATGTCTGTTTAAACCAGCTCGCCCTCTTCTGCCTTTTTAAACACGCTGACGTCTTCCTTCATTCACACACTCTGACTCAAACCTGCGACCTGTCTGTGTCTTCCAGGTGTGACCGGCTCGCTGACTGCAGCTCTCGACCCATCAGGAGTTCTGAAGAGGAAGACGGATGAGACAGCAGAGTCTACCTGAGAATGCTGCCTGACCCTCCGCCTCACCATGTCACCCTAGGAAAGCTGTTAACCTGTCCCTCTCCACACACCCTCTTTTTGCCTTTGTTATCGCCCATAACCCACTGAGTTTGAGATCCTGTCCTCACCCAGCTGAAGTCTGACTGATATGACTAAAAGAGCCTTTATTTTGGACATGTTGTTTTTTCCTTTCAATGTTGCCAGCCACCAAGGCTTTGGTGGGAAGCATCATTATACTTCTCAGCAGGTTGCTAATCACTGTCTGGTGTGGCTCTTGGGACTAGTGCTACACCTGACCCTCTCCTCATGTCAACGGGTTGACCTGAAACACCCCATAGTGTCCACGGGCTATGGAAAGGTCCGTGGTATCAGGAAGGAGCTCAACAACGAGATCTTGGGCCCAGTGGAACAGTACCTAGGTGTGCCGTACGCCACCGCGCCCATCGGCGAGCGTCGCTTCCAGCCTCCTGAAGCTCCAGGCTCCTGGCAAGAGATCCGCAACGCCACCCATTTTGCGCCCGTGTGTCCCCAGAATGTGCACGGGGTTTTACCTGAGATCATGCTGCCGGTGTGGTTCACAGACAACCTGGACGCCGCGGCGACCTACGTTCAGAACCAGAGCGAGGACTGCCTTTACCTCAACATTTACGTACCCACTGAAGACGGTGAGTGACACAGAACTCTCATAGTAGATACAGGAGGAGATGAACTTACTCTGCTTCGGTGTAAAAACAAGCTTCTACTTTTTAGATATTTTTAAAATTTCATATCTGTGTCAGTTCTTCCAGGAATAGTGTCATTTTGATAAATTAGTTAGGATTATATTCTGTGGAAGGAGAGCTCTTAACGTGAGCCGAAAGACACTCAGGAGATTACCAAAGAATATATTCACTGATAATCCCCTGGGTTTGCATTAATGCCAGTCTCAGATACCACTGGTTATTGTGTGGATGCCCATACTGCAGCATAGTCACATATGCAATCTTTCTCCTGCTAATACTCTGTTAAGCAATTATATACACTTTACTTTTATTGCTCGTATTTAATTACTTTCAGCATTTATCAAATACTTCAAACATGTTCTAGTTCATTTTTGTTCCAATTATCCACATTGCTGCATTTTAACTCCACTTAACACTAATTTCTTCAAATCATCCATGAACATTTGATCTTCATCATAGTAATTGTATTAGCTTACTAACATTAACCTTTTGCTTGGGCAGTGCACAGTAAGTCACATGTGTTTTGAGTGACTGAACAAAGTGAACCAGTGATGTAGTAAATCAGTGACTCACTGACACCACTAACATTTTCTTACTTCAGCCAGTAGAAGAGGGAAATCTCCCACTGACATACGTCCCTGCATTCAGAGCATTTCTCTGGAACTGTAAAAAAGTATTTTCCTTTATTCTGTTGTCTCTTATATTTTATTAATTTCTTGTTAATTTCTTTGCTGTCATCTGTTTTGTGCTTTTAGTCCTTGCTAGCTTTGTCTGCTTCGACTATACGAATGTTCACACATCAGAGAGGAAGTGCGTAACATGACTGTCCTTGAGAAATGTGTTAAAACGCTCCAGAGCACGGTAAAGATTATTTATTGATCTGCCACATTTCTTTCTCCTTTCATCAGTAACTTACACTGTGATTTGAATGTATTCACAATTACAGATGTGAAAACTCTTAATGAGAGAAACAAAGCAAAGAAACACAACCGCTCTTTAAAATATGACATTATACCCCTCATGAATATTCATAAACACAACTTCTTAATCAGATATTGAAAAGTACATATAAGGATCCCCCTGAGTATAAATTAATTTCCAGTTCTTCAGAGTGTGGGTCTGTTGCCCAGTGTGAGACTCCCAGCAACTCTTCACCAGCGGTGAGAGGACTGAAGAGGACCACGCTCAGTGAAAAGCAAAGAAACACCGTCTTTGATGATCAACTTCTACTAAAAACTCATAGATCATCATCGTCCGCCCCTCAGGCGGTGTGGGTGGTCTTACAACACTGGAACAGGTGTAACGTTATCAGTAGTGGTAGCTGGACGCTTCCCCTGTCGCTGACCTTCACCTCGCAGCTCCATTCAAAACGAAAAAATCACGGTTTACTTTTAATAGACGACCAGTGAGCTGGACTTACCTGCATGTTTTTATCATTGCAGGAACCTGAAGGACTAACAACCACACCTTCATTTATTGCATTCACACAGCCTGGTATTCAAAAACCCTTAACAAACTATGTTATCAAGGTTACATTTGCAGTGTGGCAGTTTGTTCTGAGCTTCAGACAAAGAGCTGAGTTTTTTTTAGTATTGGTAGCATGTGGTTTTCAACCTCAGTGACCGTTGTGTTGGGATGCACGTGTCAGTTTCATGGTCTGACTTACTCTTCACGCTTGTGTTGCATGGAGTGTGCACTGTGGTTTCTGTGGTTATGCTTGAAAATTACGGCTGTTGTAGCAGCTGGGTAGAATATACCATTACAATATACATCCAAAGACTTCCTGGTGAAGGCCTCCCGGGGTGAAATTAGCTGAAAACTGAAGATCACCATGAGGCCAAACCTCCACCTCTGCAACGGGCTGCATGGGTGTGTTTCTAACATTAATGATCCTTTGGAGAGCGTTTGAGGAAGCAGGAAGCAGGTAAAAGAACAAGGATCAAAGTGTATCTTTGGAGGTGAGGCGAACGCTGCTGATGACAGTAAGCAAGGATAATGATGAAATGTTAAAAAGCCTCTGATTAATGGGCTCACCTGAGAGTATTCAAGAACACACGTTTATGTATTGGTGCTGCTGCTCATGTATGGAGTCTAACTTTAGGATTAGTCTGGAGTGGTGCACAGGATTGTTGTCTTGTAACACTAAAGCTGAAGCCTTACGCCCCTCAGCAAGATTGTGTCAGTGTTTCAGATTCATTATTTTATTGATGCTCCTGGAAAATATCAAGTAGCACTGGAGTATAAAGTGAGAGGGAATCACCTCCTTGTGGTTGTGTCCCTCCGCCACTCAGACTAGTTTCATGTTACATCCCTGTTTATCCAGAGTTATGTAAAATATTTTCCATTGGTGTGAAATTTTGTCATAATGGTTGACCTTTGACCTTTGACACCAAAGTCTGATCAGTTAGTCCTTCAGTCCAGGAGAACGTTTTTGCCAAAGTTCAAGAAAATTCCCTCAAGATGTTTCTGAGATATTGTGTTCATAAGGCCGGAACCATGTTTTGTGGGGTCACCACGACCTTGACCTTTGACCTTTGACCCCCAAAATCTAATCAGTTCATCCCTGAGTCCGACTGAATGTTTGTGCTAAATTTGAAGACGTTCCCTTAAGGTGTTACTGAGATATCATGTCCGTGAGGATGACACGGACGTACGGACAAACAACAGTATGTCGACGGCTCTGACTGTCGACGGCGTGGAGGAATAAAAACACACTGTCGAGTGATTTAAACTGTTCTGAATATCTAGCACAGTTTATGTACGTGAGAAGAACGGGAGCGCGTGCAGCAGTTATATAATATGTATGCTGTACACTACATATGTCATATGCTCGCCGAGAGGATGATGTAGAGTCTCCCGTGTTATTCCCAGGAGAGAAGGTGTGCAAATGAGGGAGACAGATTTTACATGTATCCCCGTCTGCTTGTCAGAATCTGTCACTTATTGTCAGGGGTCACTGCTTACACAAGGCTGATGCAGTCTCCAAGGAGATGTTCTGCCTAGTGTGTGAGAGGAAAATAGAGACTGAGGCAAAGTGAAGTGCCCTGATATCAAACACTACACTTTTCACGTATAACTGTTGTCACAATCCCTCGAATTGTTTACATGGTGTTAAACAAGCAGTAATGTCAGAGGTATGAGCTTTGGCTTCGGATGGGAAGCATCTCTCCATGACATGAAAGTAACTAACTTGGTACCAGGACAGTAATGGTGAAGTGAGTGGAAAAGGTGGATGTGGATGCTGTGTTTTGCTGCGTTTGGCAGCGAGGAGTTGCGTTCCCACTCACAGTGGATGTAGGTGGGCCTGGAGGAATTGGCAGCACAGACTCATACACAGCCTGGATCTAAATGTTTTGGTGCCAGATCTGGCCTCAACGCCTTGATTTTGATACTTAAAATCTCCAGAGTATGACGTTAGGAATCGTCTTCCTATTCCACTCTAAGTTATGCCCCCTCTCTCCTGCTGTCTGTCCTAGAAATGCTCTGAGTGAACATATTCTCCACGTTATTCTTTGGACAAAAGAAAATTCAGTGCTTCTTTTCTTCCTGCATCTGTTCACCCCTCCTTCTCTCTCCTCTCTGAAACCATCCCTGCCTCCTCTCCTCTCTCCTCCATCTTTATGCAGATGGCGGTAGAAGGGGTCACTGTTCTGAATGCAAATAAGCTCTTCCCCCTCCCCTCCCTGTGCAGCTATGTAGCCTGCCACTTCTTCAACTCAATTGAAATACAAATAACTTTTCGGAGTAATGTAAATACACAAATGTTGTAGTGGACTGAACAGTGAGTTTTATACTCTCCATTTATCTCTCTCTTGCTTCCTGCCTCCTTCTCCAGTGTTCACCCCTAACTCTCCTGTGTGGCCAGGCTGCGAGGAAAGAGCACTGTCTCACTGCGTTCCTATTTCCTCAAGACACTCCTCAGCCAAGAGCCTCAGATCCTTCATTTTTATTGCTGCTAGAGCAGCCATTTACCGTGCCTTTATTAAAAACCATATTTCAGGAGGCAGGACAGTGGAGGCTGGGATGGAGCTGGAGGCTGGGGGCACAGTAGAGGAGATGGAGAGCAGAAGGATAGGGCTGCATGTGCTGGAAGCTGCTGCCTGGATGCAGAGGGGGTTGAACCAAAGCTGTGTCTGACACCTTGTCAAGCAGACAGGCCACCACAGACATGACATACCGCAGCTTCATCCCGTTTGCTGCAATGAGGAAATGGAAAGGGACGGGAGACAGCTTGCGCTCTGGCCACTGGCTCACTGAACCGAAAAGAAACGCTGTTGACTGAGAGATGGAGCTGCATTAGGTCAAACAGTACTGGGACAAACCCAAGCTAAATGCTCCTGTGTAGGCCAACGCATTTCACTGACCAGTGGCCCATTACATCATGTGACAGAGCCTACTGGCAGGCCTCTCTGCTGTGGTGTGGGCTGCTTCCTGCTGTTTGTCTTGACTAATACACCACCATTTTTCTTCATGAGAAGTCAGTTGTCAAAAGTCACGACTTAAATACGGCCATGATCATTTATTTCAATGCAAATCTTTATTATCCATTAGTCAATCAATAAAAAATCATCGAGCTTCTCACGTGTAAAACTGCGTTTCTCAGTATTATCTGATAGGACATTGAATACCTACGTTTTTCTTTGGCTCAGGATGACACTGTTGGTCTGTCCTCTACTTTGGTTCAGAATGAATATCTCAACAACTAATGGATGGATCAAGATGAAATGTTGTGTGATCACTCATGGTCTCCAGAGGATGAACCCTCATGACTTTGGTGAACCCCTGAGTTTTGAATGGATGTAGTACTCAGTAGTTACGCCGAGGTTTCCTGCTGCACTGAAAACCTTAAATGTAAATGTTTTTATGTTTTTATATTTGTAGTTTTTCCAAAATGTGTCAATAAATATTGGATGGATTCAACAAAGTTAGCTTCATCCCCTCAGGATGAATTTAAATGTTTTTTTTTGTACAATAAATTAATTTATTATAATACTAGCTGTACTTATTTTGTACTTAGAAGTTATTGTTAGCATGCTATCACACTAAACTAAGATGGTAAATATGTTAGCAGTGTGATTGAGAGCATGTAAGCATGCTGATGTTAGCGTTTAGCTAAAAGTGCAGCCTCAGAGCTGCTAGCTAATCTGGACCTGACAAAACACGTCACGTGTTCACGTCTGGGAAACTGACATTTTCTGCTTTTTTCTGACATTCTATCGACTGAGCAATGAATTAACCTCAAACAAAAAAATTAACAGATTATTTGAAAATGAAAATAATCCTGAACAGAGCAGCACCTCTCCATCATCCTCTGTTTTGTGTTAGGTGAGGTGAAGTCTGATGATCCGTTACAAAGTGCGTCTGTCTGTTTGGCGGAGCTTATCCTCACATATGTTAATTCTTTATTGAGCATTAGAAAATGAATGAAATCAGAGAAGTCTCCATTAAGCGGCGAGGTGTGGTTTTAGAGTGGTGCTAAGTAGTGGGGAAGTGCTGACAAGACGGAGGGCTAATGTGCCTTTCTATCCATTACCGGCCCGTCTACCTGTCTGTTCTGCAGCCTAGGACCAACCACTGTACCATCTCCCTCTGTGGCAGGAAGTGCTCTCTGGATCCGGCGCCTGCATAGTGGTACTCAAAGGATGCAGCAAATCCATTCAGCATTGATCCTTTTCCTTTTAGACAGAAGATAAACATTTTATATCAGGAAACCATATTCATATAGAGGGATGGGTGAAAATGCAGTATTATAATTGTAGAGTGCAGTGATGCTCCGAGTCTCTTTTGTCAGGAGACGTAAAGTGCTGTGAAAAGGAGAAGGGTGTATGCCATCACTTCACTGTGAGGTTTCCAGCAGAATGATAGAAACTGACATGTCAGCAGCACACTGGCAGAGTGATAAACCCCTTGGCAAACCAACATAGAGTATTCTTCAAAATGAGTGACTGCATCGCCTCCCCACCGGAGAGCTGGGTGGGTACGAGGAGGATAGCAACAGATGATAAGGACACTGTTAACATGCTTTGTGTAGCTGCAGGTGTGTGAACATGAGTGTGTTTAACGGTGTTCTCGAAAACATGTAGACAACGTCTGAGAACGACACGAGGCGCTGCACTAATTGTGGGCCGATGGAAAGCTCCGCTGACAGAGACCAAGAAAAAACAAATTAATGGGATCCTTATCAGTTCAGACTTACAGAGGTTGACGCGCCAGGGCGTTGGTTGGTCACTGTGATAAATGCTTGTTATTGGCTCTGCCCTATGGAGCATTTAACAGGCGTTACCATTAAAGCGTAATGTGGGGTTCCTCTCTGACCTTGGTGAGGGGAATCCTGTCACAAGCCTTTGCAGGAGGTGTAAATATCAAGAACAGCTCCCTCTGTGAAATTGGGAGGAAAGACTCGCATTTCAAGCTCGCTGTGTGTGTGTGTGTGTGTGCGTGTGCGTGTGTGTGCACGGTCACATGTATTCATAATGAGTATCTGTGCCTGCCTGCATGTGTCTATGAAGGACACAAAATGACATAAGCATAAATAAATGAATAATTAAATGATTAAATACATAAAAAAATAAATAAATTCATTGTGAAGAGTCTCCCTGGTCCGTGTTGGGACTTTTGCCTCAGGATTGCAACACTGGATACACAGCACCTTGGCATTCCTCTGCTTTTTGCGACTAAAAAGAGCGATGGCTTGATTCTGCTCATTGATTTTTCTTTACAAAGCAGCAGTGTGTCGGGGCTGATTGGGAGAAGGGTTGAGGAGAAGCGGCCTCCGGGGTTATTTACGAGGCAGTCCGTGACTGGATCCTAAGCAGTTAAAACAGATGAGTTTGGGGGTTATCTTTTCAGGAAACAGTGTGTAATCCTTGTAAACATTTTGTCTCCAGCTGTACACTCACACAGTTGCAGCAGAGCGTAATATCCTACAGTTTTGCTATTTTTCTCTTGTAACCCTTTTCCTGTTTTTCTACAAATGCAATCTTTTTGAATTTTGTCTTTTGTCTCTCCTCCCCCCTTTTTCTGAACCATAGGTCCGCTCACAAAAAAACATGATGAGTCTACAATGAACAGACCAAGGGATGAAGGTATTTTAATTGCATGCTTCTTTTTTTTTTTTTTACCTCGTGCTCCATTTTTGGAACTCCATGGGGAAATGTTGTGTTTGTATCTGTGTTAATAATCATCTCAGACTCACCACTCTGTGTGCACATTACACTGTCCATTGTTAACTGCTTTTATTGGCACACAATTCACGAAATACTCATAGAAATAGTCTGCCATGTTATTGTCCTTCATAGTGTTATTGGGCCTTCTCCAAGTTTTGCTTTTTTAAGTAGGAAAGGAAGTAGGAGGATTTCTGCACGTATCTGCTGTTACATTTTCAAGTTCACTGCAGTCGAAGAGACGCTCTCACTGCTCCGTAATGATGCGGCCAGAGTCTATGCAGACAGCATGAGCATATGTTTCTGTATACATGCCCAGATGTACCAAGTGTACTGTATATTACATAGCATTTTGCACACATGGAGTGCATTACATCTCCATTTGTGCATGTGTGTCTACTCAAGCACAGTGCTATTTGTGCTATTTGGGTATTGAATTCTCTCCCTTGCATCTCTAATTGCTATGGTTTAAAAAGAGACAGATGTAGCTAATCCAATTGTGTGGTTTCTTAACGGTGAAAACAGAAGGATTCACACAGGATTGTCGAGGAGGGGAGCAGAACGATAGAATAGAGATGAAAGAAAAAGGAAAAGCTGAGCACGGCGAGAGCATAGGGGAGGGCAACGAGGGGGAGAAAAGGGGGAAATAGTCATAATGAAGACAAGTGCATGATGAAATGACATTTATGGAGCTTTGAAAGTGAGAGAGATGTGTGTGTGTGTGTGTGGGGGGGGGAGACGGGTAGAGTTTGACATTTATGCCGACACCTGATGGATCTGGACAGGATCAGGAGGGCTCGGGTATGAATTGGACAGGTTCCCAAATACTGCTGAAAAATACATCAGTGGCATCTTCATTTTGAAAGTTAGTGGCAAGAACCTGCATCGCTCGGGTTCAGGTGCAAAAAATGCTCAAGTGCTGAGTCAGGCCGAAAAACTTAAACGCCCAAATCAATCGAGATTTCCATAAGAGAATGAATGAGCGAGGACCACAGGACTGGGAAAGGAGGAAGCAGGCGGTTTGTATTAGGAGGTAAGACGTTACATTGAGGATGGATGTGGGGGTGGGGGATTGGATATCGAGGAGGGTAGTATCAGGTTAGGTAAAGGAGAGGGAAAAGGAGGGGAGTGAATAATGTGCCAGTGTTTTGGAGGCAGGCAGGAGAGACAGTGAGCTCCTTGTTGATCTGAGTGAAACACTTTCACCCTGCGACCCTGCACCATCACCTCTCTGCTCGTGCTGAGCCCCGTTCACTCACAGCACATTCCCCTCACTTCAACACACACGCAATTCTGTTTACATCTTTTCTCTTTAATCTGTTTTTTTTTTTTTTTAAATTAAACCTTGTTGCACAAATGTCAATCTCATGCAAATGTGATCTCCAGCTTGGTACTAACACCAGAGGTCGCTCAGCCGGACAGATGCCTGTATTCTCACCAAAATACCCAAACCATACATGTGTGCATCTTTTATTTTAATAGTAAAATCTAGAGAATTGTTCATTTTGAGTTCACCTGATGAAAGTCTAAAGCCCCAAAATGTTGTCAGAATGAAGTGAGGAGATAGTGAGCAGGAAGTTTTCTTCTTTTACACCACTTGGACCTTTTCCTATCCACCTTTCATTAAGGCATTGTAGGTATGCATGAGCTTTTTATCTTTTATTCCAAAATGAATGGATTTTTATTTCCATTTAGGGTTTTTTTTTTCTTCTTTTTTTTTGGCTAACCCCTTCCCTTTATTGGGCTTAGCAAATATTTCAGTTTAGTTTGAATTTTTTCAGGGTTTCTGTGAAAGATTCTGTTATTGACAGTTTGAAAATTTGAAAAACTGAAAGTGAAGAAATAGTTATTTCAGTTGGAAGAGTCACGTAACAGAGACTGAGTTTAGTTTCATTGTTGTGCGCTTCACAAAGTAAAGCCCATGATGGACTGTAACTCTGTATGCCTCCATGTATTCTCTGAGGTGAAACAACTTAAATGCATTCTCAGTCATGGGTGAGATATAAAGACCTCGAAGGGGCTGTTGTCGTTAAATGAACATAATTGTTGATGTTGCTCAAACATTACTGTCCGGTACAACAGTAGATATCCATTTCACTTCAGCTTTCATCCTTTTAGAAAAACCAATGAAGGAAAGTTCATTTTCTTGTCAGGGCTGAAGGAGCGGGGGGGGGGGGGGTTCCCTATTAAAGACATAATCTGTGGTCTAAATGTAAACCAATGACTTGCCCCACCACTTTTTAAAACCCTCCTGTCACTTCTGTCGGTCCTGTTGTATTGTGGGTAATGTAGGCACCAGGTTTTAACAAGTAGGAGGAATGGAGGTGTTTTAGTTCACATCAGTTCAGATCTTTATTGCCCGACAGGAGGAAATAGTTTCTGCAGCATAAAAGCACAAACACATGTAAACATACTGCAGTGTGACACATGCAGTTCAAACAGTGAGGATGTATACTGAAAACAAGGAAGAAAAATAAAGTGCTAACTAAGCTGTGTGGGGAATCAAGAGGCAGTGTATAATGGACCAGAACATATGCGATAAATGAAAAGTTGAACATAATCTTTGGAAACCTGTGTCTCTGACCAGAGGGCAGATGTCAGATTGATTGAAGAGAGGATGGTCTGGATTAAATAGGATGGATTTAGCTTTTTGTGTGATGTGTCTGACAGACAGAGCTGCTGCTCACCAATGATTTTACTCACGGTCTTGACAGGGTTTCCTAATTGATTCCTGTCTCGTACATTTAAATTCCCATACCAACAAATCATTGAGAAGTGAAGGACTGATTCTGTGATGGATCGGTAAAACAACTCCATCAGGCGCCTGTCAACATTCAAAATATTTCAGCTGTGCAGAAAATACAGCCTTTGTTGTTCTGTATTACATGTTTCTTCATTGTTCACAAATATTACAGTAGAATAATATACTGATTGGACCTTTAAAATGGCAGCTACATGTCACTGTTGTTTCCCTCTGAGGATTTAATTTATGGTGTGAGTGTTGCTGTGAGTGCGGCTGATGATGGCCTGCTGATGTCACTCCTCTGTACTGTCCTGGTAATGCCGGGATAATTGAACTTGTTTACATATCCTCTGGGAAATCAGCCGAGGTTCAGAACACACCAGAGAGGAGAAGAAAAAGAGCAGCATGTCGGCGTGTACGAGTGGAAACTCATATTTTTAGCCACCCTGCTTGTGTCGTTCGTATGATCCATGAAAGATGTCTTCGTGTGTGAAGCCATATGTGCCATTTTACTGTGTTCACTCGTGTGTGTGTGTGTGTGTGTGTGTGTGTGCGCGCGCGCGTGCGTGTGTGTGTGTGTGTGTGTGTGTGTGTGAACGTTCGACTGTGAGTGACGCACCCAAGTGCATGTGTAACCTGAGATTCAGGTGGTGATGCAGGCGGGTGTGCAAATACGTGAGTAGAATTTGTTACCACGGCAACAGGCATTCAGTGAGTCGGTGCAATGGAATGGCTGGTGCAGTTCTATTAGCGAGAAGCAGTTTCCATAGCGACTCAACATCGCAGCTGCCTATGCAAGAGAGTGTGTGTGTGTGTGTGTGTGTGTGTGTGTGTGTGTGTGTGTGTGTGTGTGTGTCTCTGTATGAATACGATGTGAATCCTGTGTGAATTTGAGTGTTCATTACCGTACCTCTCTCTGTACGACTTGCTCTGTAACATTTCATATTTTTTCATCATCGCTCCTCTTTTTTTGGTACAAACCTCCCGTCTCTGTCTCTACCCCTGTCAGATCTCTCATGCTGCCCTATTTTCATCTCCTTCCTCCCTCTGTCTTACCCCCCCCCCACTCCCTTCTTTATCTCTTGTTCTCTCCTCCTATCTCTCTGTCTCCCCATCTCTGAGTGCTGAAGCTCATCAGGGTAAACAGATGCTGTGGCTGTTATTTATGTTTCCACTTGGTCTGGCTTTCATACAAATTATCCACAGGCCCTGCACAGTGCAGACGCTCAGCCTAACTGGGCTGCACTGGCAGCTCTCTCAGCCTTATCCACGCTCAGACACTCAGACCGTACCACAGACGCTGAGAGAGAGAGAGAGAGAGAGAGAGAGAGAGGGAGAGAGAGAGGGGGGGGGGGGGGTTTCAGGAGAGCGGCACACACACATGCTGACAGAGTGAACCATAGCAACACACTGATGGGCATAAAGACACCAATAACAGAGAAGGCCTCAGAACTGGCTGCACCATTTGCTCCACACATGGAGGGGCATAACAGTTTGGGAAGGTACCATCCCTGCACAGGAGAGGGGGATCAGACATCACAGAATAAAATATAGAGGATAAGCCCAGTGGGGCAGACATGAAATACTTGCTGCCAACTTAAAGGCAGTCTACTGAAAATGTTTCGTACTTAGTATCTTCATCTTCTTTTTTCTAGTGAATCTCTGGCTGTAAGAGATTAGAAAATGCTCCATATAGATCTTTTTACTAAGAAGACTGCTGCAGTTATATAAATCTAGAGCTGTCGGATTAAAATGGGGAGAATACCTGTTGCTTGTGGACGCTTAAGCTTAACAGGGATTCTTAAAAAATGAATGTGTGGTAAAGAATTTTTCCAAACGGTGAATAAACAAGAAAGTCACAAACACCTTTGTCTGTGTTGTGCAGATATTCGGGATCGCCGTAAGAAGCCGGTCATGCTGTTCATCCACGGAGGCTCCTACATGGAGGGCTCAGGGAACATGTTTGACGGCAGCGTCCTTGCTGCGTATGGAAATGTCATCGTCGTCACCATGAACTATCGGCTCGGTGTGCTCGGTAAGTTTGGTAAATGTTCACAGAATCTGTTTGACATGCGTCATCTCAACTTGACTTACGTGTGTCCGTGTGTCAGACATCTGAACAGCTGCATTCTGGGAAATTATGTGTAGAAATGGTGTGAAACCAAAGACGACTGATTGACAGGAAATATGATTTCTGTCCCTTTCAAATCATAAATCACTGTTGAACACAGAGGGGTCCGTCTGCAGGCTCCTGTACCTGCAATAGGTCTGTTATTGTCCTGGTCTAAACTGACTCTACAGCTCATATGAATGTCAGTTCACACCTGTAATGGGGTAAACTGTAACACAATGTTTGCATGATGGACGTCACGATGATTCTTAGTCGTAAAAAGCATCTTAACACTTTGGCTTCAGCATGAATTTGCTTCAGCATGCAAATTCAAAAAGTGCATTCAAACCCAGAGCCCACAACCACTGACCCGCCCCCCCCCCCTCCGTCACAGCTGTGTCAGATCAGTGCTCCAGTGTCCCTCCATCCTTCCCCATGACTTTCTACACCCTTTCAGCTGCTGTCAGCCATTTTAATGAGCAGATATTTCATCTGAATTCAGCTTCAGAAATCATAGAGCTGTAGTTACAGAGGTAACTCCCGCTCTGCTGCCTTGTACTTCAGGGTGTTGTGTCCCAGGAAGCCTCATAGACTTTCCAAAGAGTTATGGATTTTCTCTACAAGAAGGAAAATAACTTCTGATGTATTGAACACTGTAGAATGGGAATAGTGTAATAAAGTGACTCCACTGTAACTCAAAAAAGTGGATTTACTGTTAGGTTACTCTTTAAGATGCTTTTGGGAAATGGGGCTCTCACCTGTGCCAGAGTCTTAAAGCCTTGACCTGGCTGAACCTGCCTGGCATTGCTGCATTTCGGACCTGAAGCTGAACCAAAGCTTTATTTTTGCTTTATTTTATCAATTTCTGACTGTTAGCTTGCAAGGCTAATGCAACGCAGAAGCTATAGTCCGTCTCTTTTCCTCATCCCAGTGGGTGTTGCATATTGTATGTCATTGCAACGCATGACGGGAGCGGACATAGTCGACTGGAACAGTTAGAGAGAGAGAGAGAGAGAAAAAAAACCCAAACCCTGGACCTGAACCTGACAGGTCCTGACCAAGTATCAAGATTCAGGTCAGGTAGCTGCAGTCTAATGAACACCTGATAACACACACTGTACTGCACTATACAATATTACTGGTGTGGGACTTGGAGTGGTGTATGTATAATAGCAGCTTTTGTGCACAGTTCTAAAGTGATTTCAGTCTTGAAGTCATGCACAATGAGGTCTGGTTAATCCTGAATCGTCATTTCTGCTGCTGAAGTTGCTCTGACTTCATCACTTCCACCATTATCTGTTCACTCAATGTTATTTCTCTGCAGCAGGGATTTCATAATAAAGCACAAACAGGTGTATTTACTGTGTTCACTTGGCCTGAAAATTACATTTTTTTTGATTAATTAATTGTTGTATTGACATGCACTTCTCCAGAGAAACTGACTTCAGAGACACCACCAAACATTTAGTGCCTTCAGTGTACATCCAGCCACTGTGTGTGTGTGTGTGTGTGTGTGTGTGTGTGTGTGTGTGTGTGTGTGTGTGTGTGTGTGTGTGTGTGTGTGTGTGTGTGTTGCTTTCAGTGTATTTTTGGATTAAGGGGTTTTCTATTTGTCCATTCTGTTGGAGCTTTGCAGTGTTCGCATGGTCTGTGAGTGTGGGCTGAGCTGTGTGTGTGTGCGTGTGTGTGTGTGTGTGTGTGTGTGTGTGTATACCTAGCCCTTGTGCTACTGGATATCAGTGGAGTCAAGTATTTACATTTGGCATCATCTTTTGGAGGTGTTTGCACAAAGACTATCTGTGTCATTCATTGCAGCTGCCAGGTTGGGTAATCAGATCTTGTTTATTGCATCATGCCTGTTTCAACATATCAGAATAATGATAAACAGAGAAATGGGAGTAGTTTAGGACGCTGTCCAAGAGTCACAGTGAGTATAAGCAGAGGGCAACATGATCCAGACCGTTACTGACCGTGCCAGTGGAGAGGCACAGGGACAAGGACAAACTAAGGGTTGGTGAAATGAGGACCTGGACCTGCAGCTTTATCCGCCTCGATTTCAGCTCGTTATGCGGTCTTTTTCACAGCTGTCAGACAAAGCGTGACTATTAACAAATTGAGCGTGCAGTTCACATTTTGAAATCAGGTTTGTTGAATTTGGCATTAAATTACACGCTGATCCTACCGCTCCCTCAGTGGTATCTCTCTTTGCTTTCCTTCACAAGACATGCTTCACCTTGTTTCAATTTGGCCGATTTTACATTGACATTGTTGCTGTGATTCATGTTGGAGATGTTTGAAGAAGCGCACCCGTGCACAGTGGCGAAAATACATCCAAAATATATATACATCGAGGTGGAGAGCGATCCTGCTGAGTGATTATGAGGGATGACGCAGTGTCCTCGATTCCTTTAACATTGTTGAAAATTTTGGTATGTGGGCGAATGTGTGCTCTCTCTGTCTCTCTCTCTCAGATATGCTTTAAATGGGTTACTGTACTAAGGCGATTATCCCTCTCTCTCTCTCTCTCTCCCTCTCTCTCTCTCTCTCTCTCTCTCTCTCTCTCTCTGTTTGTGTGTGTGTGTGTGAGAGAGAGAGAGATTGTATGTTTGTGTAGCATAAGCATGCATGTTTGCCTTTGCGCACACCAATATCTTCTGGTGCATGTGACAGTGTGTGTGTGCGTGTGTGTGCGTGTGTGTGTGTGTGTGTGTGTGCAGCACTTGGTTGTGTGCTGTGCGTAAAATATATATATGAATAATGCACCATCCATCTGAATTTTTAATAGCATTCCACTCTGACACTGTGCATTTCAGTCAAAGTGAGAAACTAAAGCATACCGTATTTTAATAGTTTTATGTCTAATCTTTAGTATTATCCTGTACTTACACACACAGGAGCTTACACATGCCAACCTCATTTCATACAGTGCCTGCGCCTTTAAGAGAGTGATAGGGAGTCAGGAATAAGGGAAGAAGAGAGAGAGCAGGAAATAGAGACAGATGAGCGAGGGAGAATCATAGAGAGACAGAGGGAAAAGGAAACAGAAGGGGGGAGATGGGAACAGTCTAAAAATAAACCATCAGAAATTCTTTTTAAAATCTGCAGCGATGCAAAGTATTCATTCAGATAAACGTTCCTGCACTGTGACCACTGCACCCCGCATACGGCCCGACACCGTACGCTTTGATTCCGGTGCGACACATACACATGTCATTTCCCAGCGAATGATATACTCTCTGCAATTTTCTTACTAATTTATGATGTGCTCTGTCGCGCAATAAAATGGGTGAATGAGGAGAAAATGTCTGCTGCACACGGCTCGGTTCAGAGGTTTGGTGACAGTTGAGATTTCAGATTGCTGCTCCGCTCACCTTCTCCTACCTTCCTCCTGCTCCAGGCCCACAGAGCCTTCTGATTTGTGTAGCATTGCCATCTGTTCAGACTAATTAACTAATTAACTAATTAATGAACTCTGGGGAAAGGCCCACCATCGTGGGCTCTAAGAGTGAGAACATTTTTCACCTCAGGAAGAGAGATGAAACGCTTCTTCTGGAAACGTTTCTCTGCACTTTCTACCCAATCTCAGCTTTAACTGGTAAGTTCAGTAAGAGCAGCCTACTTGGCAGCAATACACCACATTTAATAACCACAACCTCTACACTGAATAAAAGGAGTTATGAATTTGTTATACATGTAATATTTGTTTGTTATTACCCTACCAAAATCTACTTTTCATATTGACTGTTGTTCTGGGTGATCCTCTGTGTTTTAACATAACTCAGTTACTCATAAGTTTTGTCTCAGAGATGTGAGATGTAATGTTTGTATATATTTAGCCACAAAAAAAAATCATCATTTTTAGGTGCTGTAAACAAAACATTGACATATTAACACCTTACAAAGTTGATGTGGTGTACGTGTTAGCAAACAGCTGCCTGTTTACACAGTAACACTAGCATTCATTCACCAAGCAACACTAGCACCATTCCCAGCCCCCAGCACCTTTTGAACTTGTTTTAGCTAACCTGTTAGCACTTTCCTATATTCATATCCAGCAGCTACAGAGCAGCACTAGCATTTATTTAGGGCCGTGTTTATGACACAGTGGCACCGGCAGGATTATATTTCATAGTACGAACAAGAACCGGCTCTCCGCTACCTTCAAGATTCCCACCCACACACACACACACACACACGTCTACTCATCGAACAAGTGAGCGAGCAAGAGAGAGAGAGATTGATTCATGTTTTTTAGTGCTGAAGTTGTGACACAACACCATAAAAGTCTGATTAGCCGACTGTGCACTGTGCAACCAGCAGCAGCAGCTGAATAACAGGCTACAATATGCTGTTCTATAATATGTTGAATATCCCACAGAAACGTGCTGTAAAAGTCACAGGAAGCAACAGATTAGTTGCCTAACTAACTACTAAAGATTGTAATAATAATACACAACATCAAGATCAAACCAAGCTGCTACAATAAACAGTCAAAAAGCCACGAGACAATAAAACAAATGGTATTCCTGCCGGTTTGAAGTTCATTCTGCGTCTGAACGTTACATCAGACTCTTGCAGAACGACCTCTGCATCAATTCCAATATCGTGATGGATGTTCATCAGTGCTCCACATCTGCAGTGTCAACACTGGGCATCAAAGCACCATCATACTTAATCTCCAGTTCTCCTCCTGAATCGAGACTCGCACTGTTAGTGAGTGGATGCAGCTATAAAATAAGACAGGATCTCCTGCTGTCACAGTCTTACTTAGAGAAACAAACAGAACCATTTAAAAACAAATGTACACACAGTGCGTGCAGGATTACGGCTTTAGTCTCCTTTCATCTCAGTGTTTGGTCTCTACCAACTCCTGAAGGAAATATCTGGCTCTTTAGCTGCTAAATGCGCCTCCATGTTCACCAGCT